TAAAACAAAAGCAGATGGCACAATTGAGAAGTTCAAAGCACGCTGGGTTGTGCGTGGATTCGATCAGGAGCACGGACGGGACTTCATCGAGACATTCGCCCCGGTTAGCCGACATACCTCACTTCAAATCCTCCTCGCGATCGCCGCCATAAAGAAAAGGAAGCTACGGCAAATCGATGTCGCCAACGCGTTCCTCTACGTACCTGTCGACGCGGAAATCTTTGTCGAGCTCCCACACGGTACCAACGGGGAACCTAACCAAGTCTGTCAACTGCTGAAATCACTTTACAGGATCAAGCAAGCTCCGCGGCTATGGCAACAGCACCTACACGGTCGCCTCATTTGCTTCGGCTTCAAGCAATTGCCGCACGACCAGGGCATGTACCAGCTCACGAAGGGTATCGACTACATTCTACTGATCGTCTACGTAGACGACCTACTCTACATCGGCTCCACTGACGACATCACCACCTGGTTTGAAGGGGAGCTACAGAGGGACCTCACACTCACGGTCTCCTCTACCGTCACACAGTACCTTGGCTTGAACATTCGGGAAGAAGAAGGCGCGATCTACCTCAACGCCGCTAAGTACGCCGCCACCATCGCCAAACGCTTCGCGCTCACACCTACCACCATCTCTATGCCCTACCGCTACACGATAGGAAATCACAAGGAAGGATCCTCTCTACTCAAATCCGCCGGGATACGCGACTACCAGAGAAAGCTAGGATGCCTTCTCTTCGCAGCTGTCACCTGCCGCCCCGACCTCTCATACTCCGCAAGCCAGCTCGCCACCTACCTCAAGAAGCCTGAAGAAGAACACCTGGCGGAGCTCGACCGCGCTCTCCACTACTTCGTCAGTACCTCAACGATCAGCCTAACCTACTACAAGAACACAACTACACCGACTAAATTAATCGGCTACGTCGACGCTAATCACGTTGGCGACTCCGACAACAGGCGCTCCCGCACCGGCTACATATACCGCCTCGAACCTATTGGACCGATTTCCTGGCAATCGAGCAAGCATGAACTAATTGCTCTCTTGTCAGCTGAAGCAGAATATATTGCACTCTGCTCAGCCACCAAGGAAGGACTCTATCTTTGCGAGCTGCTGGAAGAAGCGAAGTTAGCCGGGTTACCCAACTTCACTTTGTTCTGCGACAACCAGTATGCAATTCGCATCGCCAACAAAATTGGATTCGTGAACAGAACAAAGCATACCGCTTTGCGATATTTCTTTGTGAAAGACGAGATCGAGAAGGGAAGACTTGAACTATCCTACTGTCCCACGTCCGAGATGGCAGCTGACTACTTGACCAAGAAGCTCGGAAAACAGAAGTTCGAGTACTGCATGCTGCTGACTGGACAAGCCACGTCACCAGCAGCGACACTCCAGAAGCGAAGGGGAGTGTTGGGAACAAACAATCTTAAGCGCCTCTGTCGTGTCGAAACACCGAACACAAGCGAAGCTGAGCATATCGAGGCACCAGCGAGTCAACCCTCGGAGGTTGAAGTAACCGCTGGAGGTTACGCGAAAGTCAAAGGTCGCTGACCTTTGACATGACAAATGCAGCGCGACAGCAAGGATACACAACTGACTCGACATTGAGCAGTTGCCCGAGTCGCACTGTATTGAACCGCAACAGTAAAACAATTTAATTATATCTCTTCGTATTCTTTGTACTCATATATAAACCTTTGTACTTGCTTGTTTTAATCAACTTACTTTGCCCTCACATACCACCGCAAGGTGGTTCAAGGACTTCATTTAAACGCTTCTGCTACTACATCACTCTACCCAGAGTTTAACCCTACCAAAGATCCTAAGGGGCAATCAGCCCAACAAAGATCACCACACAGTCCGAGCACAAGCAAACGGCCACAAGGCCAGTTCAAGAGTTCACAAATATATTTACGGTAGATCAAGGACTAACAGAGCAAGCAACAAGAAACAAGGCTACTGCAACCGAGCATTAGTGTCAACAAGGCCTAACTGCGGACAGAACCTATGGTGGTCACTAGGCACTAGGGCCTTGGTGAAAATGTATTATGTGTTGACCATTTAGGCCACGAAGTCCAAGCGAGCCCGGCCGCATCGCTGCAACTCTTCAGGAGAATGTACCTCGCGTCGATGTGCTTCACTTTGCCCTCTAGTCGAGGCTCTTGAAAAAGGAGGATCACGACCTTGCTGAGACCGCTCACCAAGGTCAGTGAGCAAAAAAAGTCAAACAACAAAGCCCCTGCACAGCCATGGCACTAGCGTAGGTCTCTGCCTCTGCGCTCGACTGTGCCATAGACAACTGGCAAACTGTATGTTTGTGTTATCTCTAGGCTATAGTGGGTTAGCCTACAAGAGGTACAACAATTTAGGGTTAGGTACTTGTACTCATGCATGCTACCTAGTTCATCATTCCTGCCTGCTTATTCTAACATGGTATTAGAGCAGAATTGTTCCTAGGGCCCACCGAACGTTCCGCCCTACCCTACCCGTAAATATTTTCTTCCTACGCTGCCCCTGCGATCGCGCTGCCCCTACAGCCGTACTCGCCCCTGCGACCGTGCTGCCCTGCAGCCGTGCCTGCCCTTGTGGCCCGCGTGCTGCCCCTGCAGCCCGCGCGTTCGCCCCTGCAGCCCGTGGGCGCTGCCTCTGCAGCCCGCGCGCTGCCCTGCCGAGCCGCGCGTCGCCCCTGCAGCCCGTGGGCGCTGCCCCTACAGCCCGCGCGCCGCTCTGCCGAGCCACGCATTGCTCTTGCAGCCCGTGGGCGCTGCCCCTGCAGCCCGTACGCCGCCCTGCCGAGTCGAGCGTTGCCCCTGCAGCCCGTGAGCGCTGCCCCTGCTGCCCGCGCGCCGCCCTGCCGAGTCGCGCGTCGCCCGTGCAGCTCGTGGGCGCTGCCTCTGCAGCCCGCATGAAACCCTAAACTTAAATAAATAAGTTAAAAAATAAAAATAAAAAACTGTTGCTGCTGCTGTTGCTGCTACTCGTGCTGCTGCTGCTGCTGCTGCTGCTGCTGGTGGAGGTGCTGCTGGGAGTGCTGGAGGTGCGGCCGCCTAGCCCCACTGGGCCGCCCTGCTACTGCTACTACTACTGCTGCTGCTACTCGTGCTACTGCTGCTGCTGGTGGAGGTGCTGCTTGGAGTGCTGGAGGTGCTGCTAGTGCTGGAGGAGCTGGAGGTGCTCGACCTACTCCTGACCGTCGCTGTCTGTCATGGCCACTATCGCTGCAGCTGCTGCGGCCAGGGATGGACAGCAGCGGGCACTGCCTCTCCCGGACGACCCCACCCCTCAACAGCTTCCTGAGTGGGTTTTTCAGCGAGGCAGGCGTGGTGGTGGAGGTTTTGATTTTAAGTGGCCTAAGCGACGTCGCGACTATTCTTCTCAGCGATGCGTCCCTGGATGTGTAGAGGTTCCCGCTCCAGGAACTAGTGAGTCTGCTACAGCTCTAGGTGCTCGTGAGTCTGCCGACGCTCTAGGTGCTAGTGCGTCTACTACCACAGGTCCTGCCTCAGCTGAGGTCTTGCACACTTTCACGCTTGACTCAGGCGCGTCATGTTGCTTCTTTCGTGATTGCACCACAGTCACACCACTCACAGCACCTGTCCCAGTCTCACTGGCTGACCCCTCTGGGAGCCCAGTAGATGCGAGAGCTCCACGCTCCTCCCTTGTCCCGTGGTCCCCTCCGGCTCTCTGTCAGGTCTCCACCTCCCCACGTTCTTGACAAACTTGGTGAGCAACGCTGCCATTCAGGATGTCTGGTTGATACCTTTATTCCTGGAGGGCAGTGTGTGGCAATTTGTACGTGCTCCCGGACTGGCTGTCACCTGGCTCTAGTCTGTACACACTGACCACTGCGTCTGCATAGGTGGCTGAGTCAAGTCAGGTGGCCGCGTCGGCTTGGGCGTCTGCGTCGGGTCAGCTAGCTGTGTCGTGCTCGTGCAGAATACTCACGCACGAGACTCGGCGCTAGCACCACCATCTTGGTCACCCCTCCCCGCCGCGTCTACGCAGCATGCACTCCCGTCTCCTTGTCTCTAGCCTCCCCAGGACCCTGCCCCCCCTGCCGCGCTCGCTTGCCCCGCCGTGTCTTCCTTGCGTCGAGGGGCGGCAGCGCGCCGCTCCTCACTCCTCCGAGTTTCCTTCGACCACTGCTCCTCTGCAGACTCTCCACATGGACGTGTGGGGCCCGGCCCCCATCGGTGGAACGAGTCAGGAGCGCTACTTCCTGTTGGTTGTTGACGACTACACACGCTACACCACAGTCTTCCCCTTGCATCGCAAGGCGGACGTTAGCGGAGTTTTAATCCCCTGGATCCGTGCTACTCGTCTCCAGCTGCACGAGCGTTTTCAGTAGGACTTCCCAGTCTTGCGTCTGCACTTTGACAGGGGCAGTAAGTTCTCTTCTGACCTCCTTGCGAGGTTTTGTCAAGACGAGGGCATTCGCCAGACACTCACGCTTCCGGCCTCTCCTCAGCAGAATGGGATTGCTGAGCGTCGCATTGGCTTGATCATGGAGGTTGCTCGTACCTCCGTGATCCATGCGGCTGCTCCCCATTTTCTGTGGCCGTTTGCGGTCCGATACGCTGCGCATCAGCTCAACCTTTGGCCTCGTGTCTCGGAGCCAGAGACCTTGCCCACACTCAGGTGGACGGGGAAGGCTGGCGATGCGTCAGTGTTTCGGGTCTGGGGCGCGCTCTCCCTTGTTCGCGATATCACCGCGAGCAAGCTCTCCTCTTGCACTCTCCGCTGCGTCTTCCTTGGCTTCCCCACTGACGTCCCGCCGTGGCAGTTCTACCACTTGCCCTCGCGTCGAGTCTTCGCATCCCAGGACGTCACCTTTAACGAGTCGGTCTGTTTCTACCAGTTACACCCACACGCGTCCCACCCGGTTCCCCTAGCACCCCTCTTCCTGGTACCAGCCCCCCCCCCCCCTTGGTAGACCCCCTCCCCCCACACGGTCCTGCTCCCTCAGGTGTGTCTCTGGTCGACCCACCCCCCTTGGATGAGACAGTGGAGATCTCTTCTGACTCCTCTCGCCCAGCTGAGGGGGGTGACTCAGTTGTGGACGACACGGCGGCCACTCGCCGCTCTCCACGCTTTGGGACCCCCCCAAGTTTTCCGCCTCGACCGTCTTCGCCCCCTCCGCAGCCTGCTGCTGTGGTCGCTGGAGATGAGACTACACGTGTTGAGACAGAGGGTGAGGGTTTTGGAGGTGCTGTGCCTGGGGGTGCTGGTTCTGGGGGTGCTGCGACTTGGGGTGCTGACTTAGGGGGTGCTGCAAGTCCTAGTAGCGGTGGAGTTGTGGGTGACCTTGGTGGAGGTCCTGGAGCTGGAGGTACTAGAGGTGCTTCTGGTGCTTGAGGTGCTAGAGCTACCACTACTGGAGGTGCTGGAGCTGCTAGCACTGGAGTTGCTAGTGCTACTGGTGCTGGAGTTGCGGGAGCTACTGGTCCTGGAGGTGCTCCCACTAGAGGTACTGGAGCTGCCGGAGCTAGTGGTGCTACTCGTGCTGGAGGTGCTACTGGAGCTGCTGACCTTGGAGGTGCTGGTGTTGCTGGTGCTAGAGGCGCTAGAGCTGGAGGTACTGGAGGTGCTGGAGCTACTGGTCCTAGAGGTGCTTGTACTAGAGGTGCTAGAGCTGCCGGAGCAGGTGGTATTGCTGGTGCTGGAGGTGCTGGAGGTGCTACTGGAGCTGTTGGCACTGGAGATGCTGGTGCTGCTGGTGCTGGAGGTGCTGGAGCTGGAGGTACTGGAGGTGCTGGAGCTGCTGGTCCTGGAGGCGCTCGTACTAGAGGTGCTGGAGCTGCCGGAGCAGGTGGTACTGCTGGTGCTGGAGGTGCTGAAGGTGCTACTGGAGCTGCTGGCACTGAGGTGCTGGAGGTACTGCTGGTGCTGGAGGTACTGCTGGTGCTGGAGGCGCTGGAGCTAGAGCTGCGGGTCCTGGAGGTACTCGTACCAGAGGTGCTGGTGCTGCCGGAGCAGGTGGTACTACTGGTGCTGGAGGTGCTGGAGGTGCTACTGAAGCTGCTAGCACTGGAGGTGCTGGAGCTGCCGGAGCTAGTGGTGCTGGAGGTGCTGGAGGTGCTGGTGCTGCTCGTGCTGGAGGTATGGGAGCTGCTGGTGCTCTTTGCCACCTTCTCAGTCTTTTGCCAGGTGCTACTGACTTCCCTGTGGCAGGTATACTCCTCCGCTACTGTTTCCACCGGCCGACCAATCTCAGCCGCCGCTGCTACCGCACTCCCCACTGCCTGCTCCTACTCCTTACACTGCTGTGACACAATCCCTGTCTGAGCGTCGAGAGCCTGAAAATTGTGCTTCCACCCCTGAGCATCGAGAGCCTGAGTCTAGCTTTGACCTTGAGCCCCAGCCTAGAGCCGCTGTCCGTACTCGTGTTTCTCGTGTTCCTCGTCAGCATGCTCCGACTGTCCCAGGCACTCACGATATGACATTCTGTCCTTCCTCTGTTCCACATCGTGTTGTCCTCCTGTTACCTCCTGCGTCCTCCCTTCCTGACATTGCTGACCCTCTGTTTGACCTTGCTCGTGCGTCCAGTCCGACTGTTACTCACTTTCTTGCTACGGTGGTGATTGACCCTTTGTTCTCGTCTCCTACTACGTCTGCCTTAGTCACCAAGCTCGTTGACTTTGCTGCAGGGAGAGGAGGGCGTTTGGGTGCGAGCGGAGTGATGGGCAAGCACAGCCAGTGCCGGAATAGCAGCACCACTGCCCCTGCGGAACCAACCCCTGAGAACAGAGCGCTGCCGGCACATTCACATACCGACGCTACTCTGTGTGGGGATGTGTATATGGATGGTCATGAATGGCTGTTATCCTACGCGAGTGACTCAAAAGAAGTCAGGTGAAAAGGCAGAGTGTACAGTAAGCAGTGGTGTTGTGTGGCCTCTTTGGGTGCAAGCATGCTCTGAGTACTGGCAGAGATCATACCAGCGCGGCCAGGAGCCGGTGGGGAGCATGACGAGGTCTACGTGGTTGGTGCGCCCTGGGAGTGATGGGAGGGATGGGATGGATGGGATGGATGGGAGTGATGGGATGGATGGACGGGCGGGCAGATGGACGGGCGGATGCGGAGCACGTGTTACTCAAGGAGGCAGGCCAGTGCGTGATCACATGCATTTGGGGCAGGAGCATGACAATGCTCCACACAAAACAAATCAGACAACGGGAAATTAGAAAAAACTATGGAAAGGAACAAAAATGGGCATGGCCAAAACAAGCAAATGCAAAAAATAGCCAACTGACCGCTGGGGATGTGTGGAATGGAAGGAAGGGATATTTTATCGCTCAGCTGCCGCTGACCTCTTCAGACACCGTTCTCACGCAAGTTGCCAACTCCTTTAGCTTCACTTTATCCAATTCCACCCCCCTCCCTTCAATCCCACACACTCCTTTCCTTCCTCCTCCCCCTCCCATCCTCTACTTTCTCATCTCTTCCCTATCTTTCCTCCTCCCTGCCCTACGCCTCTCCTCATAGCCGTCCCCCACTCTCAGAAGTACCCCTGTGAAAATAAAATCAGATTGAGACTGCACACCCCTCCCCTCATACACCCGCCCCTCCTCCTCCACGCCCCTCTCTCCCCCCGTCCCTGCCACTCTTCCCAAACGCCCCTAGATCCACTGCCCACCTCGTCTGCCCACCTCCTCTGCGCACCTCATGTGCCCCATGCGTTGCAGCACTCCCTCGCCATCCCATTCCTTTCCTTCCCTCCGCTCTTATAAGAGTCTCCTCAATCCACCCGCTCCTGCCCCACACAACTATCATACTAGTGCTTCCCATCAATCTTCTTCCTCTCTTATCCATGCTAACCTCCCCCCTCCCCTCCTCCTCCCCTCTTCCCCCACCCCCCCTATCCACCACGCCCCCATCCCTCCCCCACTTCCCCTCACCCCCGCAGCACACAGGCCCCTCCACCATGGGATGGGGTGCCCCCTCGCCCCCCCTTCGCCCACTGCCCAGCTGCGCCCACCACTCCATCCACCCATCCCACATCACATCGTCCCCAGCAACCTCATCTGTGCCCACCATGCAACACGCCGTTCCCAGACCCTCACCTCCACTCCAGCCCCCCAAGCACACTCACCTCGGCCGTAGCAGCGGGTGCACTCCACTCGCCCACTGCCCCGGCAGTCAAGGCAGGGCGGGTCCGGGCGGGGACAAGTGGGGATGCCGCACTGAGGGAGCGCGGGGAAGGGACGGGGAAAGGGGAAGTGGAGAGGGGTGGAGGGGGGGAGGGGAGGTGAAGCCAAGCGGACATAATTTTGTACGGAAAGGGGATGGGGGCAAAAGGGGCAGTTTGGCGAGCAGTGAGGGCAGGACGGGTGGGGTCAGCGCGATGGTGGGGCGGCTGAGGGACAGGACGGGATGGGGAGAGGAGGGGGGGGGGCGGGCAAGGAAAGGGGGGAAGCGTGGGAAGAAGCGCGAGCAGAAGAGGGGGTGGCGAGGAAGGGGGCGGTGGAGATGACTTGGTCGCTGGAGAGCGAATAGGGTAGCGCGCACGGGGAAATAGTAGCGCGCGCGGGGAAGCGCGATGGGGTGACGAGGGAAGCGGGGAGGCGGAGATGGGGCACTACGGGGGGAGGTAGTGTGTTGGGGAAAGCAGGGAGAGGGAAGGGGAGAAGACGAAGGGGGCACGTTGGCGCGGAGAGGAAGAATTGATCAACTGCGCCTAGGTTGTGCTTCAGATCCCACCCACCCTATTGCCTTCTCGGCCCACGTGCCATCACATCATCGTGGAACTAAATTCACGTTGCACGGTGCACCGCTAGGCGTACTCTGTGTGAGGCTTACCGGCGTGTCGACCATCCAATGGCCGTCGCGGCGCGGTCGGCGGTCGTTGCTCCACGTCGTCGCGATCTTCTCCACCAGCGACGGCCGCACCTTCTCCGGCGCGGCGTCTTCACCGGCCGCTTCTTCCACCGCCACGACTCGCGCTACGACGTGGAGCCAATGAGCGACGGCCGCAGATCACATAGCGGGTCCAGCGGGATTCTGTCGTCATCCCCAGCGTCACCGCTGACGTCATTTTGTATGTCATTGCTGCTACTAGTCACGTTGATATCCATATTCGCCCCTAACCTATCAGTACAATTGCAGGGATCGGTGCGAGCATTGAACGGCTCTGCTTTCAATGAATCAGCCCTCAAGAAGGAGTCCGTGAGATTTACGGGGTCGATTCGCCCCCCGATTCTGGCATTGTCAAAGCCCGCGCAAGTCGGAGAGAGTGGACTTGGAGTCTGAGAGCACGCGAAGCGTTATGGTTAGAGACATGGGCAGACCCTAGTGCCGCCGACGAGTCGGCTTCAACGACAGCCTTCTACGCCACTACCAACTCTGCTGCAGCAGAGAGGACGACGGGGGGAGGCACGACGAGGGAAAAGGAGGGGCGGCGCGACGATGGGAGGGGAGGCGAGACCATTGGAGGCGAGAAGAAAGGAGGGAGGGCGCTACGAGGGAGGAAAGGCGGCGCGACGACTTGTGGCGCGGCGAGGTGCGCGAGCGGGCGCGGTGAGGTGTCGTCACGCAAAGTAGCTTCTGTACAGCCTTACGCAGACCTCTGCCAGTATTTTCTGCAGCGAATGCACTCTCAAAATGATTGTTTAGGCAAAGTCGGTACTGCGTGGCGTGGTTTTAGGGCGTGGGTTACTTCATTTTTCTGGCGTGGATTAAGGAAAATTCCTTTTCCTTACTTCGCGTCTCCGCTCAGCGCGTACACCACTGTAGCACCACAGTCGGCACCGTTACCACTCGCAACCCTCGCATCGACAATCCTCCCGCCACCTTCGCACGTCGCACCCTGACCTCACGGCTCGGCGGGTAACCCGCGCTCCAGGCCTCTGCTTCGACATTTCCCCAAACCTCAGTCCAGGCCCGTCACCCGACAACCACAGTCCATTACCGTTACAACTGTAGTTTCGCTATATATTCTTCGCTCATGCTTTTGCTCATTGTACTCTTTGCTTCGATAGTGCAACTCTCGCTCGATCACTCAAATTGCACTCGTAACACTTGGTATTTAAAGCCTACGATCTCTTCTCGGACCGCACCCACACCTTCGCTTCCCCACTATCTCAATTTTTTGGGGGGGGGTAGACGTCTCTCAGCGACACAGCACCGCCGCTCGTAGTGCTCTCTCGTAAGCACGCACGGCCACGACAGAGGCTCTCGCTGAGCTTGCCCGACACCCCCGCCATGGCCGAATTCATGCTCGCGACGTTGACGCAGGAGCAACATGACCGTCTGGTGCGCCAAGTTAAAGAATCGGCGCTCGAAATTGCGACGCTCATGGCGGAACGTGAATTGTGAAGAAACGAGAATGATTGACTAGTGCAAGGGTTGGGTACAAGTACAAACCCTAGAAATATTGTACCCCATATGAGCTATCCCACTACAGCCTACACAGGCATGAATCTGCGCGTCAGCAATCTGCGGTGAAAATTCCAGCGCCACCACACGGATCAACAAATGCATGTGCACAATCGGACGAGCCGATCATCATTTCGTCCGGCACACCAACACAACACGACAGCGTGGGACGGCGCTCAGGTGCAGCCATTAATGGCGTCGCCCAACCGATGCCTGGCATGGGGGGAAACAAGGTCGCACCAAGCCCGCAGGGGCCTCGTGAAGCCCGTCGGCACGTGGAGTTCGCGGCGACAAGTGGCGAACTGGCCATTATGGCACCAATGCCACTCAAGCCGCAACGCCCGCCCTGCTTCGACCCGAGCCAGCGTGGAGGTCCGACGGTTCAATCGTGGGTCTTCACGATGAACGTCTTCTTCGACGCAAATTACGTTGAGTCGGACGCAACAAGATCCGATATGCCGTCTCGCTGCTGAGGGGCCCCGCCATGGACTGGCGGCGAGTCATCGTTACGTCGCCACGCGCCTACGAGCCACCGTCGCAAGAGTAAGGGCCCACGGGTCCAGCTGTCACCTGGAGTTCATTTTGCGAAACCGCCCAGTACAACACGTGGGATGCGTGGTGCGCAGGGCTTCGGGCGCGCTTCGAGCCAATCGCGGCTTCTATTTCGGCGCGTCAGAGACTGCGTACTTGGCGGCAGCTTGGATCGGTTCAAGACTACACGAGTGGTTTTCTCGCATTATGCGAGCAAGTCGGCTACATGCACGAAGCGGAGCGGGTGGACCGTTACGTCGGAGGGCTGAAGCCGGACATCTCGCATGAGATCATGCTACGCGGGCTCTCGAACTTCAACGAGATTCTCGCGCTTGCCGAGAAAATCGACATTTTGCGTCGTCCGAGACCGGGGTCCTACTATGGGCCTTCACGAGCCGCAGCTGCAATGCGGCTGAAGCCAACTACTCGTCGTACGAGGGGGGGGGGGCTTAGCGGTAGTATGGGCAGTGAAGCATCGGGCAACTACAGGTCCTACTGAGCTGTCACTAGAGTGCGCAGTGGTGTGAGGTCAGTTTAGTCGCGAAGAAACAGCTGGACGCTCCAGAGTCTAGGGTGAAGGAAAGTTGTGTAGTCTGTGAGGTCGCACCCAAGCCAACTACAAAGGCTGGTGCTAGACTAGTGGTTGTTGTGGCTCATATGCAAAGACATGTAGAGCCTCCTGGACTAGAGACAACACATGCACCAAGACTGGAAACACAGGTCTCTACTCGTATAGTCGAGAAAGGTCCTAACCCAGGTAGGTGAGACTCAACTGGTGCAGCAGTGCACTTTCAAAGACGCGAGAGCCAGTGCTGTATAATAGCGTGAGGACCAAAACGATCACGGTGGAGTTCATCGAGTCGACGGTAGGAGCTGGTTGTAGAGTGGTTAGGACTCGAGCAGGAACTACCTACAAATCCCCACTTTAGGGCGTGTTAGGGCCCGGTACCTACAGGGGGTGACGTCTCACTTTCTGCTAGCTGAGCCACTGCTGGGGGCGCCACACTTTGGACCCGCAGTTCCCCACTGCCGAGAGTGCTGCGACTGGCCCTGCTACTTTGGAACTCTAGTGCACGCCAGGGCCTATTTTATCAGGGT